TGTGTGTGTGTGTGTGTGTGTGTGTGTGTGTGTGTGTGTATGTGTATGTGTATGTGTATATGTATATGTATATGTATATGTATATGTATATGTATATGTATGTATCTTTACTATTATGGTGTACTATGACTGATTTATCATTGTGATCTGTTTACAGCCTCTCCTTCAATCAAACTATTGGTGGATGATCCCATTGTGGTGAACCCTGGAGAAGCCATCACTTTGGTTTGTGTCACAACAGGTGGTGAGCCACTCCCAACCCTAACCTGGGTAAGATCTGTGGGTACCTTACCTGAGAAGATAATACTGAAAGGTGGGACGTTGACCATCCCTGCTATTAATTCTGATGATGCTGGCACTTATAGCTGCATTGCCAACAACAACGTGGGGAATCCAGCAAAGAAGTCCACCAACATCATTGTCCGAGGTAAGAGTTTTCTACAAGTATAGTTATTTATCATCAGATTAAGCAGCTGTACGACAATTGGACTGGATTTTGCTATAAAGGTCTTTTATTCTCTTACCATCATGTAATAAATCCTTCCACTTTTTTTTTTTTACTGGAACATAGTCACGAGAACAAATATGCTGTTATGTTTTGAAGCTTTTTTTCTTTGTTTTTAAAAATGTCTACATACGCAAGATATATTATTGATTTCTGCTTACTTATAGAAACGGATTATCCATAGAGAGTTGTGTTTAGTAATGCAAGAAGCTGCCATACAGGTCTACATTTTAATTAGATCATATCCAGATTGCTCAAATGTGATTCACCTGAGACTACCCCAGATAGACTGTTAGCTAATGGGAGGTAGAGGGATGATGTGATGCCTGTATGAAAGATCTGTAATGGTTGTGAATTATTTCACAGGCACAATTTAAATTCATAAATGGCTTGAGCTGACCATCTAAGGGACCTTCTTTCCTATTTGAATTTGTCAGCATGTTAAAACCTGCAGGGGAGTCTTCTCCGAAATACCCCTATAACAAAATTCTATATAATGAAAGGCATCCCTTCTGCAAAAATGCATCTCTTTTGCTAGACTTTTAATTATTAATTATCTTTAGTATTAATTTTAGGATCATAATATTCTTTTTGCTCTTTTTAATGGAAAGGTAGGGTTGTAAATTGAATCGGTCAATAATATACCCCAAGACCATTTGGACCATATGTAACCTTCTAAGATTTTAGGCCAAAGTTTTAATAAAACTACTAGAAGATGATGAAGATTGAAATTGATTTTTTTTTTTTACATGAAGAGAATATGCATCTATTATGTCGCCTCCCCATGGCCAACACATTCTGGATGATATTTTAATTTAAGCCTTCCCTTTATGGAATCTTCATACTCCATTTATCATAATAAGCAACCAGGTTCAGTTGTCACTGTTGCACTGATATGAGGGTGAATTGCAGCTTTCTCATCTAAGACCAACAGAACGTTGCAAGTTTGTCCTCCAGACACCTTTTCTCCTCTTGCGTGAAGGCAGCTTAAGAAAACCGGCTTTAAAGCATCCATGGTTTGCTATTCTACAAGCCTGAAGTTGGGGTTGCTTGCCTGCAAATTTTATAAGACTGTTTGAAGATTCCAAAGTGATCTGCAGAGGATTCCTCTTTTCCAAAGTTTGATTTATGTATGTATGTATGTATGTATGTATGTATGTATGTATTATGTATGTCAATTGCATACAAGATAATAGATATAAGTAAAAAACATAGTTATGAATACATGGATACATATAAGAAAAATAAAAAATAAAGAAACAATAGGACAGGGACGGTAGGCACGTTGGTGCACTTATGCACACCCACAACAGACCTCTTAGGAAAGGGGTGAGGCCAAGAGTAGACAGTCTAAGGTTAATTTGGGGGGTGGGGGGTGGGGAAGAAACCACAGAATCAGGTAGAGTATTCCAGACATTGAACTCTCTATTACTGAAGTCGTATTTCCTGCAATCAAGTTTGGTGCAAATAACCTTGAGTTTGTATCTATTGTTTGATCTTGTATTGTTATGGTTAAAGCTGAAGTATTCATTGACAGGTAGGACATTACAATGTATGATTTTATATACTATACTTAGATCGGACTGAAGGCGGCGTAGTTCTAGGTTTTCTAGTTCTAGAATTTCAAGTCTGGTGGCATATGGTATTCTACAACGTTTAGAGGAGTGGAGAACTCTTCTTGTGAAATATTTCTGGACTTTCTCAACTGTGTTAATATCAGATACATAATGTGGGTTCCAGACTGATGAGCTGTATTCAAGTATTGGTCTAGCAAATGTTTTGTATGCTCTAGTTATTAGTGTAATATTACCAGAGAAAAAGCTACGTAAGATTAGATTAACAACTCTTAATGCCTTTTTGGCTATGTAGTTACAGTGGGCTCTAGCACTTAGATCATTAGAGATGAGTACTCCAAGATCCTTGACAGAGTTTGGATCATCAACAAGGTCTTGACTATTCAGCCTGTATTTTATTTTCTGATTTTTTTTGCCAATATGTAGGACAGAGCATTTATTTGTTGAGATTTGAATAAGTGACCAGGACATGGTTTCTCTTCCCTCTGGGTACTGTTTGAGGCAGTGTTTCCTCCCCCCCACAATTTTTGTAGACTATGTGATTGTGCTAAATATGTTTGTTCCTTCCCTCCACCCCACTTGGCACAAAAGCAAAAACACCCTGCATGATGACTCTGCAGTAAGGCACTTTAAGCACTTAATGGCAATGTAGATTTCTGCAGCTGTATGTTCTTCTATCCAGCTATGGTTATTTCATACCTTCGAGTCTTGTTTTGCTCTTTCTGCCCTGCTACTCCCATCAACTGGGAAGTGGCTTGCTTGCTTAGGCCTTTTGCAAGAGAGAACTCAAATGGAGAGTTTTGAATTATTTCAGTGTGAGGCTCAGCATCAATAACATGACTTAGATAGAATAGTTGCCATCCATTTCCCCCTGTTTGATTGTTAACATCCAGACTTTGAAGTTTGTAGTAGATCAGGTTGATAACATTGAGACTTGGAGAGATAGAGAGTGGAGTGGAATTGTCAGGTTGTATGATGTGATGGATAGTTTGGTGGATGCAGTCAACAGAGAAGCAGATTTAAATCCCTAATAGTGCATGGAAGCTACTATCATAATTTTGGCCAATTCCCATCCCATCATCTTGTTTGTTCACTTGTTTTCAATATAAAGATCTTCCCCACATTGGCAGGGATGGACTTTTATCCTGCCCTCCAAAGGAGAGGACAGTCAAAAATTGCTGCCTAACAAATTATCTTAAAAAAATATTATCTCAAAAATTAGGCCAACAAAGTCCTGTCTTATAAGAGTGAGGGAACCATTTATGGTGTTATTATTGGGAATGGGAAACAGAGGTTCCCCTTCCCTGTTGCCTTTCTCCCCCAACCCCATGTATTGAGTCTTAGCTACCTTTCATTATGGTGGTCTCTTCCTTTACCTGCAATTGGAGAGTGCAATTGCTGCTGCTCTCCCATATGTAGCAACTATGTACCAGAGGTGATATTCAGCAGGTTCTGACCAGTTCTGGAGAACCGGTAGAAGAAATTTTGAGTAGTTTGGAGAGCCGGTGGTAACCTTCCCCCAGGGGTGGGGAGGGAATGGAGATTTTACAGTATCCTTTCACTGCTTTGCCCACCAAGCCACACCCACCAAGCCATCCACATCCACCAAGCCACACTCACAGAACCGGTAGTAAAAATATTTGAATCCCACCACTGGATGTAGCCTTGAAGGACAGAGGAAAGGACCATTACCAACGCAATTCAGATAAAGATAAAAGACAAAAGAAGGGAAGTACATTTGAAAAGATTGATGTCAGTCCTATAACATAGATCAGACTAGGAAACAGATTGTCAGGATTCCAATACACCCATAGCAAGTAAACCTCTGAGGCAAGTAGATTCCTCAAAGAATAGCTTTATTGGATATATCATATTGGCACAGTTCTGGTGGAAACTGACTCTGGAGGTTCCTGTGGTTTTCACCTAATTAAAAGTAAACTTTTCCCCCTTCCCCAAACAGTCAGTCATATGGTCCAATCAAGGTGCCGTCTGGTTGCCTGGTAATGTCATTCCTCCTCTCTCTCCTCTCTGACCAGATGTGAGAATGTCCTTGGTTCCCAGGAGAAAGTATTTTGTTTTGGCTACAAAACCCCAGCTATCTCTATTCCCCCCTCCCTATCCCTTAGCTCCAGTGTGGCAGTACTGAAGCTCCAAAATAGCTCTAGTCAGGTCAGCTTCAGGGTTGACATAGATACGGTGCAGACCTAAAGATAGTTTTATTAAAACAGCTATAGTAACTTAACCTTTCAAGTCTTTCTTGAGATTGATTCTTCCATTGGTATCTTGGTAACCCATCTTCCTCTGTCCTTTAAAGTCATGTTGTATACCGACTACATCATGAGAACAATCTGAAAACAGAGGTAAGGGTGGCACAGTGATTAGAAGTTAGTATGGCAGATTAATTCAGTTCACTGCCAGGAATTCAATCCTCATTGGCTCACAGTTGACTCATCCTTCCATCCTTCCGATGTAAATTGTTGGGGGCAATATGCTGACTCTGTGAACCACTTACAGTAGAGAGTGCTATAAAGCACTCTGAAGCAGTATATAAGTCTGAGTGCTATTGCTATTGTCCTGATGGGAGGGAGCAAGAGATCCATGCAGAGGCAGGGAAGAGAGAGAAAAACAGGCAGCAGAAACAGGGTAGGGTTTCCCTTTCTGCTCCTCTCTCCCCTAATAGCAATTGAAACAGCCAAGACTACCAATAGCAAATTTGGATGAACCTGTGTTATCCTCAGCAGTTTAAAAAAAAATGGTCCCAGAGCTACAGAGCCACATGGTTGCATGGAAGAAGATGCTCCTCCAGCAAGCCAATTAGAGCCCTACAGGTCATTGGCCTACTGTATTGGAGGATCCAACTCCTTGGAAATCACAAAGTTATATAGAGGAGGTTTGTTCTGTGTTCCACAAGAAAACCTTAATTTTCTTCCAAATGACTTTGCCTCAGGCCAGCCCTAAGATGAAGATATTATATGGATAATTGGCAAATCATTGGTAAAGGGGCTATCTCAAAGCTGAGGAAAGGAAACTGTGTGGCTGAATCAGAGTAAGATTGTGTGAATGATCTCCGGTCAACTTGCATGGAGCACATCCTTTGGTGTAGACAAAACTCTCTTCTTTAACATAGCACCTTGCTTCAAGAGGATGGGTCCAGCCTGATCCATATCTTCTGTTCAGTAAAAGGGCTACTCTGCTCTACTGTGTAGATTTTTTCTGCTTCCTTTTGAAGGGGAACTTTGATCAAAGCTGGGATGAATCAAAGTCCCTTTTTGAAACTCTGTAGGCTCCTGTGAAATACAGCTATGGCAACCATCAGAGAGGTCTTGAGGAAATGGCTGGACAAAACAA